GGTATATGTTTTCCAGGCCTTTTAAAAAACATGGGTTTGTTCCTTTGGCTACATACATGCAAATCTACAAAAAGAGTCATATTGTAGGCATCAAGGGAATTAGTTCTGTGCAAAAAGGAATGTCTCACAAATGTTACCCATGGCAAAATGGGTAGAGTCTACAACGTTACCCAGCATGCTGTTGGCATTGGTGTAGACAAGCAAGTTAAGGGCAAGATACTTGCTAAGAGGATTAATGTGTGTATCGAGCATATTAAACACTCCAAAAGTCATGATAGCTTCCTGAAACGTGTCAAGGAAAATGATCAGAAAAAGAAGGAAGCCAAAGAGAAAGCTACCTGGGCTCAACCGAAGCGCCAGCCTGCCCCTCCCAGAGAAGTGCACTTTGTGAGGACCAATGGAAAGGAACCTGAGTAGCTGCTGGAGCTGGAGCTTCGAGATGTACCGGAGCTTCCAGAGCGGCTGGATGCCAAGAGGAACGGGGGCCACTGCTCGAGCCTGCGCTGGTACGAGAGCCTGAGCTAGAAGTTGAGCTGGACGGAGAGCTGGTGCTGCTGCTTCTGCTGGAAGCGCCTCGCTCTGCCAGGTCTTATCCCTGCCGCGGTCCTTCTCACGAGACTCCTTGGTGGCCCTTTTTTCTTCAGAGCGAGTTTTGGACTTCCCATCAGAGTGGTCCTTTCGTTTGGTAGGAGAAGGAGCCCTAGTGTTGGACTTTTTAGTACTTTCTTTGACTTCTGGCAAGCCCTTCTTTTTCACTCCTGATGAATCTATTCTCCCTTTCTGAGGCGTTCAAAGCAGCAATGCCAGCCTCGCTTATCTGAAATCTCACTTCTAACGTGAATCTGAGAGCCGATCCTTAATCGGTTGCAATTTATGCCAAAGAGCAGCACTTTCTGGCCGTTGCGGCCTCCGGCTGTCCTTAGCCACCAAGGCTGGCGCTGCTTTGTTGTCAGAGACCTAAAATATATCCTTTTCCCTTCTTTGATTTGTCCTTTTCTTCATCTCAGTTTTTTCCCTCCCATTGAACAAATTTTTTTCCCTTTCATGGTATCTATTGTACTAGGTATTTTTCCAAAAGAACTGAAATCATACCACAGCAATATATGTGGGCCCTTGTTTATAGCAGTGCAATTTGTCATAGCTAAATCTTGGAAACAACCCAAATGCCCATCAACTAAGGAATGGATAAAAAATATGGTATTTTTGCACAATGGAGTATTATTCAGCTATAAAAAACATAAATTCGAGGCTTTTCTAGCTAAATGGTTGCAAGTAGAGATTATAGATAAGTGAAATCAATCAGATCCACATGTGCAAACATTGTATTATCTTCCTAGTGTGAGAACCTGATTTTTTTTAGTCTAATTTTTTAAATATTCTAGATGGAATTCCCTTGTCTTAGGTACAGTCAGCTATAATTTTTCCCAATTCATAGGTTTTCTTTTTACTCTGTTGGTGATTTCTTTTGACATGCAGAAACTTTTAAAAAAGATGAGATCCCAGTTGTTGATTCTTTGAAGTATTTTCTGTGTAGAAAGGTTTTTGTTCATGAACTCTACCTACCCTATGTCTTTAAGATTTCTACCAATCTTTCCTCCAAAAGATTTAGTGTTTTAGCTTTAATATTTAAATCTTTGATTTATCTTGGCTGTAGTGCATGGTGATAAATATGTCTCTAATTTTCGCCTTCGGCATATAGAAAGTCAAATTTTCCACCGCCATTTATTAAAGAGGCCAACTTTTTTCCAGTGAGCATATCTGGCCCCACTGTCAAAGATAAGGTGGCTTAGTGTGTTTGTAGTCATTTCTGCATCTTCTAATCTGTTCCACTGATCCTCAGGTCTGGTTTTTTCTGTGCCAGCATCATGCTGATTTTATCACAGTAGCTTTGTTGTATAGTTTCAAGTCAGGGATTATGATGCCTCCTGCCTTCCCTTCGTTGCTCAAGATTGGTTTTACTATTTTAAATGGTCTCTTCTGGTTCTAGATGAATTTAAAATTTTTTTTTCTAGATTTGTGAGATATACTAATGGTATTTCAATTGGGATTGCATTGAATCTGTACAACAATTTTGGGAGTATGGCCATTTTGACAATGTTGATTCTTCCTATCCTGAAGCAAGGAATATCCTTCTGTTTTCCAAAATCCCCTTCAATCTTTTTTCTCAGAGTACTGTAATTTTCACTGTATAATTCTTTTACTACCTTTGTGAGATTGATTCTTTTTTTTTTTTTTTTTTGGCCAGGCAATCAATTTTCTTTATAAAGAGGATACATGATTTAATGAAAAGTACAAATTGAAATCAAAATCACAGATTTCTGACTCGGTCTCCAGCATCAATTATACAACCATGAAAAGTCATTTTTTTTAACCTAGACCCCAAATTCTTCCCATGTAATAAGAGGGCTAAAATTACCAAAATTCAGGAGGCATACACATATGCCTATAGACAAAACATGTATGTAATGTTTATATTACATTTGTGGCCCCGCATATACACCTATATACGAATCTTAGTTTCTTATGGAAAAGCAGATTATAAACAAGGGGACTGGAATAGGACATGGGATTGATCCTACTTATAGGCTATGTGTTTGTGGCACTAGGATGCCTGTATCTTCATCCACCCAAGGCATCAGAGCAGTGGAAACCTGTTAGAAATCCAAATTCTCGGGCCTTACTCTATACATAACTGAAGCAGGAACTGTGTTGCCACCTATCCCCCACGGTAACATTAAATTGCTATAAACATTAAAATAGTAGGACCTGCAGCATTTGAACATTCCCAGGGGAGAACAGGCTAGTGTCTTAAACAGAAGGGAAGAAAGTAATTCAAGGAGAAAATTCAAGAGGGACTACACAGAGAACTAGGTCAAGGTGGTAGGACTAGAGGTTGGAGAGACATACCAGGGGACGGGGGAATCTATGGCAGTAAGAGAACTGGTATGGGAGTGAAAATATGGAGCAGAAGCCCATGGAATAAAGCAGCAACTCCTGTGTGAAGTCTCTTATTCTCACCCAATCATTTCTGCCACTGTGCTGAGAATTCCTGGCTCAAGGAATTTCTTCCCTATAGTGTGTCCTAAAAGAAGACAAACCTCTGTTCTCAAGCACAGACCCTCCAACCCCTGCAGTTATTTACAGTAGAAAATCAAGATGGGGTTCATTCACATTTCTCAGGATGGTGCATGTCTTCTCCAGGCCCTTTGAATAGCTCAAGAGTCTCCCGATTACAGGTTTTTCTCCCCTCCCCTCCTTGACAGTCAAGAGCATGTACGTGTTTAGGGAAAGGAAGAAAATCCCTAGAGTTTTACTGGGCTAAAGATGAGCTCTCCCAGAGAAAGCCCTGGGGGTAAGAATCAGCCTATAAAAACGACAAGGCAAGAATTCAGCATGGACACTCTTCAAGAGGCTGATAGATGCCAAGTTGTCATCCAGGACATTTCCCTGAGACGGGAATCCCCGGCTCTGCAGCTTCCTGGCCAGTGTGAGGGCCACTAGCCGGCTGTAACCTTTCCTGCGATGGTCAGGGAGGGTGTAGCCGTGGCACATGGTGGCAAACTGGTCTGTGATGCCCCAGGATACCGGGTGCCCACTTTCATCACGGATACACACACTGGGAAAGCAAGAGATGAGGTTGGTGATGTACCGGAGGCACTGCACGTTGCCACCCCTTGACCAAGTCTGGTTGAGTAGATCAGCATCACTGACACTCAGGTGGGTCAGGCGCGGGGGAGATGTCATGAGGAAACTGGAGTCTGGCAGAGATGAAATAGGAGGAAAGTGCACAGCCTTGAAGGAAGCTAGCTTTACATCCAGCTGCTTTGAACTGGCGACGGCTCTGGAAGCATCATACAGCTCAGTCTGTAGTCCTTGTATTTGAAAAACTTGATCCCAGTTAATAACATCCTGTTCTTCCAGTAGCTGTTGGTAAGCCCTGACATCCTTGTAGAATACAGCGTAAGCATTAGTGTAATGGTCCAGGTAATCTGCCTCAGCCTCTCTCTGTCGCCGAGTGATGATAGCTTTAAAGTCTGGCCATGAATCCAACACAACTTCCTTTTGAAAGGGATTCCCACGGTTTATGTTCATAACTGCTCCATAAACCTTGAGTGATTCAGGAAAGTGATTCTTCAATATTTTCTCCAGTGCCAATAATTTGGAAGAACAGCTCAGCACCAACATCTTCTCCACAGGGATGCAGTTCCACCCTTAGTTAGAAACTTGAAATGCACAGTTATTGGAGGTTTCAGTCCATATTCAACTGGCTCCAAGGCAGAGCGGCACATGGCAGAGAACTACCTTTCATGGCAGCAGCAAAGAGCAGAAACACCTGTGAGATTGATTCTTAAGTATTTCATTTTTTTGAGTGCTATTATGAAAGGCATGGTTTCCCTAATTTCTCTCTTGGTGAGTTCGTTGTTTGTGTGCAGAAATGCTCTTGTTTTTGAGTATTGACTTCATATCTTCCTATGCTACTGAATTTGGTTATTAAATTTATAAGTTTCTTGGTGGAGTTTTTGGGGTCTTTTATGTAGAGTATCATGTCATCTGCAAATAATTTCACTTCTTCCTTTTCAATCACTGTTCCTTTTATTTCTCTCTCTTGTCTAATTGCTCTGACTAAAGTTTCCAGAACTATATGGATGGTGGCATTTTCTTATGCTATGGTCTGTTTGTATTATAGATATTTATATTCATTCATGAACTTACCCATTCATTTGATGAATGTTCAGTGGACACTCATTAAATGCTAGATACCCATTAACCTCTAGGAAATAAAACAAGCACAGTGTAGACCCTGGCCTGAGGGATCCATGTTTTGGTGGAGGAGAAAGATGCATGTATCTCCTGGTGTTCCAGCAGCAGGCAGATGGCCGAGCTACAGGATAAAGAGGAGGCAATACATAGTGGGAGTATTCACAGGGCGGGGTGTAGTGAACTTATGAGGGAGTACGCAGGATCTGGCAGCTAGTAGAGATAGACTTTTGAAGGGTGGATGGGAGAAGGAGTTTCTGAAATTTGTAGTGAGGGAGCTGGATAGAGCAGGTCGCTGGTCAGAGCTTGGATTTTAGATGGAGGGACACAGTGAGAGAAATGTCTGGAGGGTTTGAACAGCCCATGTGTGCTCTGCTATCTTCTTCTTACCTTTAGTTCAGAGATGTTCTTCATTGGCTACACCCAACCAGAGGCCAGGAGACAAGCAAGGTCTCTGATAGTCTTTGGAAATCAGCCCTTGGTAGCAGAGAAGACAGGTAAAGGAAGAGAGTGTAAATCTGAGGGCCAAAAGAAGATATTCAGCAAGTCTGTTCTTTTGCCTCCTTCTATCTACTTTCTTACCTTACTCGGTTAAGTTTGCGTTGTAATACAGGGGCACAGCAAGTTCCAACAGTTATCCTACTGCCACTATTGATGTCATCAATCTGGTCACATTCTCAGCTGCAAACTAAAATGCTAGCACTCACCAGTGTTTTGCAGATAACAAATAAGGGAGAGACAATTTATTCATATAAAATGTACCTGCTTCACTTTCTACTGTTATAGCTTTTCACAATAGTCATACTTGCCTTTGTTCAACAGCCTTTTTTTCTCATCCTCTGCTATCATCTCAATTGGTGATGCAGACTGAATTTATATGTGGAAACCCCACCCCAGTATGATGGTAAGAGGAGGAAGGGCCTTTGGGAAGTAATTAGGGTCATCTTAAAAGGGATGAAAGTCATTACTTCAGACACAACTACAAGTCAGCCATTGGCCCTGCTCCACACTTAGCAGGTATATAAATTGGGAAGCTTGAGTGGGAAACATGCACAGCCCTCATCCCTGCTACCATGGCTACTTTTCTTCTGGGCC